GATTGTCTGTTGGTCTACGGACCGGGGGACTCATCGGTCTACGGACCGGTGAGAGGTCAGTCAACGGACCCTGCCTGGGATCTACGGATTCTGGATTTTGGATATAACCGGTTTGATATTATGTGGACACGGTCTGTAGAAGACTACGGTCAGTCTGGTTGCCTGAGTGGCAGTTGCGCTGGAGAGACTGTCGCTGAGTGAGTGAGGGCTGACAGAGTGAGTGCAAAATTTTGCACCCGCATACACTAACAAAAAAGTTGCACGTGGGTACATTGAGCCTGACACATGGTTTCCATGGAGTTTGATGTGTGTTAGTCGACTGAAAAAACAATGACAAGTTCCTTGAACAGTGGGTATTTCGCCTCATGTACTGGGAATTTTTCAAGCGCAAACAGGGAAAGAAACATTGTTGTGATTTGTATATCGCAGAGTCACTGCAGGTTATCTTTTCACAGACAGAATTCATTCGTCGATTGAGAAGGTTTTATGATAGTAGTGAGCCGCTGCCATGGACAACCAAGCTCGTCTGCTGTCGCAATTGGTCCCTGGGACGCTTGTCCTTCAACACCTCAAGACTTGTAAGTTGGAGACGTCAGACTGCGGTCTGTGTGCTGTTCACGAAGCTTGGAAATCATACAAGCGAGACTGGGTTCGGGCCATTCTCAATGACGGCGTCGTCACACTGGGATGCTCCACTTGCTGCAAGGCAGGTTTGGAGGGTCCATGGGCGAACTTCCAACAGAAACCCGGGGCTATTCTGCGGAAGTTCTGCTTAGATAGACATGAAAAGTCGAGGGGTCATCAAGCAGCGTCCAAAAGTTTGTCCACGGACAAGGCTTTGCATCTGGCGCCGTCACAAGAGTCCTTCGAAGAACTTCTCACTCAGACTTTGCAAGGTCAGTCGGTGCGAGCTGGAGGCGTGACCTCAGATAAGCGCATCAAGATGCGCTGGGCCTTGACGGAAGCGATCCTGGCTAGGAACCGCCATATGTTAAAAGACTGTCAATCGATGACATTGCTTCGAGACGAGCGAAAAGGAAAGCTCTTAGTCCGCTTTCGAGCGGTGCTACGAGACCTCTCAACCGTAAGCGGTTGTCTCGGCTTAACGCCAGTCAGTGGTTCCTCAGACAGCATTGCTTTGGCTACAGACGCGTTGATGGAAGCATTTTGCGTGCCAATGAGGCAGCCACCTCGAGCCTCCTGTGTGGCAGAAGGTTCAGTAGACCAGGCCTTGCTTCAGCACTTGCGACAGACAGTGACAATCATTGTTACGGACGCGGCTGCTTCTGAACAGCTGGCAACTGATTTGCAGCGTGGCCCGAAGAGAGTTTGCAGATGAAAGCGGCCAGGCGACTAGACTATGGCAAACATTAAACTGGTCGGTCGTGACGCGGCTCACGCCAGCACGCGGCTCCTCAAGCGGCCCTTCCAGGCATGCTCCGAGTTGAAGAGCATCATGCACGAATGGCGCCACGGCTCTGACAGCTTTGCCCAGAAAGTCCAGCATAGCCCTGTGTTGGCCCAATGGTGGGCTGCTGCCTTGGAAAGTCCTACCAGCGAAGAATGCGACTTTGGAAGTCTAACATCTTTATCTGCGGCGAAGCACCGTTTTTCTTCCTACCTGAACCCTCTGTCCCGCATTTGCAAGAATATGCAGACGGTTTTCAAGGTTTGTTGCCGGCTACAAGCCATGAGAGGCTCGGAAGCTGGCTGGGCCATTCAGTTGTGCAGAAATTTCTCCGGCTTTAAAGCTGTGCTGCTCACGATGGCAGCTGATGCCTGCGCCATCAGCAATGATTATACTCGAGAGTGTGATCAGGAAGGGACGGACATTGCTCAGCTCAACTTGCGTGCTCATCAGTTCATTTCTTCAGCCAGGGCTTTGTTTGTGGAACGTCAGGTGTGCACCTTGCCGTCATTTACAAAGGATTTTTTGTCCAGAAAAGAGCCAGTTCTTGTGCAGCTAGATGGCTTCGTGTTGGAAGTGCGTGCGACGCCAGCTGACGTCGAAAAGGCTTTTCAAGTCATGCAAGACCTTCTTTTTGGCTTACACTCACAAGATTCAAAGCATTTCTTTCACTGGTTGATTCAATTTTACTTAATTGTCTTGCGTTTCGAACTTGTATCTGTCCTGCAGGAGTGGACTGCCCTTGCGGAAGAAGTGGTCGCCCATGAAATTCCCAGCTGGCATTTGTTCGCAGCCTTTGAAGTGTTTCACTTGCCAGATTCCAAGGAGTCTCGCAAGCTGAATGGCGAAGACTTGGAGCGGAACCTGCAAAGGTTGGCTCAAGCTTTCCATGTGTCCACGGACCAACTGAAACGAGAGTTCACACAAATGCAGCCGATTGCTGCTGCTCTCAAGAAATCCGCCAGTCACTCGAACCGGGAGGCTTGGAGGCAAGCAGTTTTGCGAGTGGGGCGACGAAGTCCGGCCCAAGCGAATACCACAGGCGCGCTGCGCACAGTGCTGGCAAGCTACCTGGCTTGGACAGCGTCTAGCAGTGGGGTGGAACAATTATTCAGCACCTTGAAGGCTTCGCCCACTGAGCAGTCCAAGTCAAGCGGCGCGGTTTTGGACACAGACAGGCGCACTGCAGTGGCCATGGGGGACTGTCAGGTTCGAGAGGCAAAGGTCGCCGCAGAAATCGTTTCAGAAGCTCGGCGCCTGTATTGCACTTTGCTTCGGTCTGGAATCTCTCGTACCAATACCCAGCAACGTTTCGACAAAGGTCGAACATCCACGACTGGCCGCAAAGGATCTCACGCTCAGTGGGATCGGGACAGGAAAGAATCCTTGGCCACAGCTTTGAAAGATTTGACCACGCCGCCGCGAGCAGCAACCGCTCCTATGCGCACAGAGTCTGCTGTAAAGGAGAGAGACTTGCAAAGAAGCAAGGCCTTCAAACGGAAGGCTGAGGCTCTGACTGATGGCTTGCTTTTGCCCGACGAAGTGACACCGGCTCTTGAATGCGCAGCCAAAAAAAATGGTGAAGAACAACAAGCAAAACGATCGTCAGCGGAAGAAGAAACGTCTGGATTACCTCACGGAGTATGAGATGGCTTCCACAAAGAAGCCTTCAGGTTGGGCTTGTGATGGCTTGCAGGGTCCTGTTTGGTTGGATCCGCGCTTGGGTGAAAAGACGCAAGCTGTCCAGCAAAAATTGCACACTCTGGGCGTCACTTCTCAGTCTCAGGCCAGGCTTGCGTACCACTTGTTTCAATGTTTTTTTGATTGTCCTGTTGGTTTTCTCCTGTCCCCTTTTTATTAACCGTTCCGGCCAGGACATGCAGCAGGCAAAGTTGCTGGTCCTTGCGAACTTTGGACAAGTTGGAGACAGTGTCAAGATCACGGCGGCTCTGCAAGGAGCCGTGGTTCTGTCAGCTGCTGTCCTCTTTGGCAAGGGAGGTGTCAAGCTGACCTTCAACGGGGGTCTCTGCATTGAGGCTGCAGTGTCTGTGACACAGGAATTCAAGGTAGAGCAGCCGGATCTTACAGCTTTGCTTCGGGTTGCTTGCGCCAATGGTTGGCTCGCGGTGAAAATGAACGATCTGAAGGGCCGTGGCAGAAAGCCCAGTTTGCTTTTACGGGGGAAAGACGAAGTCGTCCAGGGGTTTGGGAGGACAAGAGTCAAGCGTTTCAACCGGACAGAATTTGTTCGGTGGGTTACAAAGACCTGCTTGAATCAACAGCTAAGCGCTCGTGTGAGCGCGGCGTCCTGATTCGTAGCCAAGAGCTTGAACCTGCAGTGGATGGGGCAGCTGCGGGAAAAAAGTGTTGAACGACCTGGCTGTGAAATCGACAATATATAAATAACATGCTCTTAATTCATTGAATGTCGGGCTGTCAGGGTGTGTTTTATATTTCAAATAAATAGATGCTCGTCGTATTCTTTTCGGCTCAGCAAAAGGAAATGACGAAGTCCCGACTAAGACTAAGACCGGCCCCCCCCAAAAAGGTCCTGAAACAGAATGGCGCGGTGAGCCACGATGCCCTGCGGAGACAACTGGTGCGGGTCAATGCGTTGGCTGGAAACTGGCAGAGCCGATTACTGCCATACGAACGTAAGCCACAGAAGACAATCCGCACGGCCTCTGACTGTTCGGGCTACGGCTCAGACCTGATAGCCTACAAGTTATTAGGTCTGCAGGGACGTGTGCGTCCTGTGCAGATGTCGGAAAACGATTCGGTCAAGGTGGTGTTGCATGAGGCCGTGGCCAAGGCCTGTGGCTGGCATGCGCAGCCTGCCACGACGGGCGATATGTTTCTAAGGAAACCGGAAGATAGCAAGGCATCGGATGTCTATGTGGCAGGATTCCCCTGTCCATCCTTTTCTCGATTAGGAAAAGGAAAAGGCATTAACGACCAAAGAGGTTTCTTGACTTTGAAGGGGATGGAGCACATCGCCTTGACAAGGCCTCAGGTCATTGTCTTGGAGCAGGTGGCCTCAATTCTCCAAAAGAAGCATGAGAAGGTTTGGAACTTTGTGCTGAAGACGCTGAAGTCTTTGAATTATGATTATATTTACAAGGTCATGAACACTAGAGATCACGCCGTGCCTCAAAGCCGGCCGCGGGTGTATCTTCTGGCTGCGGTGCAAGAAGTTGGACAAGGTACTTTGACATTGCCAGAGAAACGCACCGTTCCAGTGGACTTGCATCATTTCCTGAAGAAGGACCAAGTTGGCACAGAAATATTGCGTTTGCCCAAATATGAACATATGCTGGGGCCACTGACGTGGCAGAAGGGCTTTGTGCTTGATGTGGGCGCAAGCCCAGGTTGGCAGCATGTTGTGCGGAATGCAGCGCCTTGTCTGATTCGGACAAGAATGGCTCAGCAAGGGTATTATATACCCAAACTGAAGAGAAGGCTTTTGCCGGAAGAGGCTGCGGTCTTGCAA